TTACCCATGATGCTCAGGTGGAGAAATGCTTTAAACTTCCTCCCACTTTACGTCCTGCATACCGTTTGTCTCCTCTCTGTTCTGATTCGAGGGCTTTCTTTTTGTCAACAGCTACCTTCCTCATTTTTTAAAACTTATCCTATCCAGAAGGCCCAAAATTAGCTTCACTTTGAGCTACAGCTGCTCCACAGATTCTCACATCCTGCCCCGTGAAGTAGGCCAATGATTAAATGATGGCTCCATCCCTTCCCCGTTGTTTGAAACAGGACTAGCTGACCTGAATCCCTGCCTCCCTCCTGCTTCTTTGATCTCGCCTCATCCACAGGGAGAAGACTTTCCTTCAGTCCTGGTTATTTTTATGCTGTATTACTGCAGTATAGCCCGGTCTTAGTGTTTAGTTTCATGCTTTATTGGGAACGTCGGGTTCCTGTGGCCATACATTAGACGAGACAAATTCAGGTATTACCAAAAATTAGCATAAATGGTCTTAATGACTGCTCATAAAGGTCTAAAAACATCCCCAGATGTTTGACTTTCTCCTTTTAAACACATTATCATGTATTCTCCACTCTAACAGAGCTCATTAACTGACATTTAGAGCTGATTCTGGAGGAAAAGAAGCAAAAATGGTGAATTCAGGTCAATAAAAAACCACAAAACCCCTAAAAAAGTGGTTTCATGTTAGCTTCATGCTAACTGAAGCTAGCACTGCCAGAGGGAAAGAATATCTCAGAAATTGTTCTCCACGTACAGAAATGCGAGCATTTTTTAAACAGATATAATTAACTCTAAGCAATATGACAGGGTAAACATCCTAAATGACTCACTGCTAATCAAGCTAACTAGCTAAAAAAAAAAATCCTCCAGTAAAGGTTTTAAATAAAAAACAAACAGTTTTTAGTTTGACCTTTTCCTGTTTAGAGATTTGCTACTGCCATTAAGCCCTTGAAACTACTGCAATATCCCCCCCCCAAACTCCTAAAAAGATGTATGTTCATGCTAACCGGAGCTAGCATCAGTTAGCATGCACATCAGTTAGCCTAAGCTGAACTTTGTGTCTCTGGAGTTGAAATAGTTGGGGACTAAATGTTTTTTCTGGAGGACTTTAACTAGGGACCAAAACAAACTGCTTTCATTGGTGGATTTAAGATTTAATAAAGTACAGAACGGAAAGAAAATGTTGCCTGTTAGTCCTCGTTAGCTTGCTTTGCTTCCTCTTATTTTGCTCTGGTTTTCAGTTTGGTTCTGGTTGTTTTTGTTGGTTTTTCACAAATATGTGTAGCCTATATGCCTGTTACTCTTCGCTAGCTTCCTTTGCTTCCTCTTATTTGACTTATTTTACTTAATAAAGTAGAGAACGAGAAGAAAATGTCTTCTTCACAAATACAGTATGTGTATATGCCTGTTACTCCTCGTTAGCTTGCTTTGCTTCCTCTTATTTTGCTCTGGTTTTCAGTTTGGTTCTGGTCCTGGGGGTGCACCGTGCTGACCCTCTGCTCTGTCCTCTAAACTAAATGTTTTCCTGGAGAACTTTAACTAGAGACCAAAACAAACTGCTGTCATTGGTGGATTTAAGATTTAATAAATGTTGCCTGTTAGTCCTCGTTAGCTTGCTTTGCTTCCTCTTATGTTGCTCTGGTTTTCAGTTTGGTTCTGGTTCTGGGGGTCCACCATGTTGACCCTTTCCTCTTTTCTTTGGACAGCTGGGAAGTCCACGAACTGGGAAGGTGGGATCCGGGTCCCGGGACTGGTCAGTTGGCCCGGGACCGTCCCCAGTGGGGTCCAGATAGACGAGCCCACCAGCAACATGGACCTGTTCCCCACCGTGGTGCACCTGAGCGGAGCCGCCCTCCCCCAGGACAGGTGAGGGTAAAAATGTACTCAAGTAAAAGTCAAAGTACCACATTATTATTTTACTTAAGTAAGGGTAAGAAAATACAAGCTTTTAAAACTAATTAAGTATTAAAAGTAAAAGTACTCGCCAACCATAATAGCTAACGGCTTATATAATGTCATTAAGTGTACCTATTGTATTTAGTTTTAATAAATCAGTAATGTACTATCAGCGTTGGGGAGTAACGGATTACATATAACGACGTTACGTCATTTAATTACAAAAAAAGAGTAACTGTAATTTGTTACAGTTACAATGAGAAAATATGTAATTGAGTTACAGCTACTTACGAAAATGTTAAGAATTACAAATTAGCTTAGCCTAGCCTACCCAACTCCTCTTTTTCCCGGACATGTCCTACATTTCAGACTAGGGTTGTCAAAAGTATCGATACTTAAAAAAGTATAGATACTAAAATGTTGTATCCGGATACGACTGACTTGTCTCCGATTTATTTATTTATGTATTTATTTACGTTGTTTATGATCATTAACGTGACGTTAGCCTTGAACTGCTAGCTGCGGCAAACAGCTAATAATAACATGCTAAAATTAATCATGGGTTAATACTCATTAAAACCTTAAAGTAATCAAAAAGTAATCAAAAGTAATTAGTTACATTACTTTTTAAAATTAATCGAAAAAGTTACACTACAATTACATTTTAAACAAGGTAACTTGTAACTGTAACGGATTACATTTTTAAAGTAACTTACCCAACACTGTGTACCATTTTAATGAGCAATGCTGCAGATAAAGCATGTTTTTCTTGTGTTTCCCCCCTGTGACAGGTTAGATTTAGATATTTTATGCAGGTCCTGGTACTGTGCTGCTCTTCTTGAGGGAGGGCCTAATGGTTATTTCCCGCTTTGGATTGGTTCGGCGGACTGATTCTGCTCTCGCCATTGGATACTTTCAAACTAACGAACAAATAAAAAAAAACGAAATGCGTCTTGGATGTAACGAGTAACGAAACGCTGTATAGAAATGTAGTGAAGTAAAAGTACAGATACTTACTGTTAAATGTAGTGGAGTAAAAGTAGAAAGTATCCATTATTAAATCTACTTAAGTAAAGTACAGATACTTACTGTTAAATGTAGTGGAGTAAAAGTAGAAAGGATCCATTATTAAATCTACTTAAGTAAAGTACAGATACGCGGAAATTGGACTTAAGTACAGTAACGAAGTTGACTCCTATCCGTTGTTGGTAGGGTCATAGATGGCCGGGACCTCCTGGACCTGCTCCAGAACCGAGGCCAGAGGCCCCACCACCAGTTCCTGTTCCACTACTGCAACGCCTACCTGAACGCCGTCAGGTGGACGCCCGCCAACAGTACGTCCCAGCATGCACCGGGGTCCCATCATGCACCAGGGCCCCAGCATGCACCGGGGCCCCAGCATGCGTGTGTTTATAATGATGAATATAATAGAAATAGACAAATAAGTAGAGAAACATCTCCATAAATGAATCAATGTGCCCGCCAACAGTACGTCCCAGCATGCACCAGGGCCCCCTCATGCATGTGTTTAGAATGAATATAATAGAAATAGAGAAAAATGTAAAGAAACATCTCCACCAATTAGATCGTAAACAGTTAGATTTCTTCTCGTCCCTGTTAGACTCTCTATAGTTTTTTTTAATGAGAAAACAATAGAGACTTAAAGGCATCTAGGAGTAAGGTAAAAATGCAATTAATAATTGGTCAAATTCTAAAACAAATGGGTTGGAAATGAGTCCACTATGGAAAATATAATAGAAATAGACAAATAAGTATAGAAACATCTCCATAAATGAATCAATGTGCTAAAATGCACCAATTAGATCATAAAAGGTGACGATATTTTAGATTTCTTTTCGTCCCTGTTAGATTCTCTATAGTTTTTTTTAATGAGAATAGAATAGAGAGTTAAAGTCATCTATTGATAAGATAAAAATGCAATTAATGAATGGTCCAATTCTAAAACAAATGGGTTGGACATGAATCCAATATGGAAAATATAATATAAATAAACAAATAAATAAACATCCCCATAAATTGATCAATTTAGATAAATAAATGCAATTAATAAATGGTCAAATAAAAAAGAAAATGGTTGGAAATGAATCCAATATGGAAAATATCATAGACAAATTAGTATAGAAACATCAATGTGCTAAAAATGCAGCAATTAGGTCATAAAAGGTGACAATATTTTAGATTTCTTATCATCCCTGTTAGACTCTCTATTGTTTTTTTTATGAGAATACAATAGATAATTAAAGGCATCTGTGAGTAAGGTAAAAATGCAATTAACAATTGGTCAAATTCTAAAACAAATGGGTTGGAAATGAGTCCACTATGGAAAATATAATAGAAATAGACAAATAAGTATAAAAACATCTCCATAAATGAATCAATGTGCTAAAAATGCACCAATTAGATCATAAAAGGTGACGATATTTTAGATTTCTTATCGTCTCTGTGAGACTCTCTATTGTTTTTTTTAATGAGAATAGAATAGAGTTAAAGGCATCCATGAATAAGATAAAAAATGCAATTATTCAATCATCAAATTCAAAAACAAATGGGTTGGAAATTAATACAATATGGAAAATATAATAGAAATAGACAAATAAGTAGAGAAACATCTCCATAAATGAATCAATGTGCTAAAATGCACCAATTAGATCATAAAAGGTGACAATATTTTAGATTAGATCTCTATTGTTTTCTTTAATGAGAAAACAATAGAGAGTTAAAGGCATCTGTGAATAAGATAAAAATGCAATTGATAAATGGTAGAACAAAAAAAAAAATGGTTGGAAATGAATCCAATATGGAAACTATCATAGACAAATAAATATAGAAACATCAATGAGCTAAAAATGCACCAATTAGATCATAAAAGGTGACAATATTTTAGATTTCTTCTCGTCCCTGTTATATTTTTTCAGTTTTTTTTATTAAGATACATTAGAGACTTAAAGGCATCTATGAATAAGATAAATAATAAAAATAATAAATAGATTAAAAAAATAAGATAAATAATTAAATTAATAAATGCTCAAATAAAAATAAAAATAGTTGAAAATGAATCCAATATCAAAAATATCATTGATATAGGCAAAGGGGATATGATTATAGGTGGAAATCTAAATAAAGTTGTTACTTTTTCACAATTAATAAATGCTCAAATAAAAATAAAATGACTTGGAAATGAATCTAATATAAAAAATATAATTAATATAGGCAAAGGGGATATGATTATAGGTGGATATCTAAATAAAGTTGTCACTTTTCACAATTAATAAATGCTCAAATAAAAATATAAATAGTTGAAAATGAATCCAATAGCTAAAATATAATTAATATAATTATGCAAAGGGGACATGATTATAGGTGGAAATCTAGATAAAGTTGTCACTTTTTATCATTTAATTAGTGACTGTTAGCATATTGATTCATATAAATTACATACAGAATGCTTATTTTTCCTCATCAGATGGTTATCAATTTTTATAAATTCATATGATGTGATTTTCTGGAATTTTCTTTGGGATTCTGTCTTTCACTGTTAGAATGTACATATGATTAAAGTTATAGATCGTTGCATTCTTTGTAAGTGGGCAAACCTGCAAAATCAGCAAGGGCTCAAATACTTATTTCCCCCACTGTATATATACATATATAAATACATTAAAATTAAGTTAAAATTAGTTGAAAATGAATCCAATAGCAAAAATATAATTAATATAGGCAAAGGGGATATGATTATAGGTGGAAATCTAAATAAAGTTGTCACTTTTTACCGTTTAATTAGTGACTGATTCATATAAATGACATACATTTAGACATATAAATACATTAAAACAACCACCACACCTCGTTTAATTAGCGACTGTTAGCATATTGATTCATATAAATTACATTCATATACACATATAAATACAATAAAACCCCCCCATAATGTCTTCTTCTCCTCCAGGTAGCTCGGTGTTTATAGGTGGAAATCTAGATAAAGTTGTCACTTTTTATCGTTTAATTAGTGACTGTTAGCATATAAATTACATTCATATACACATATAAATACAATAAAACCCCCCCATAATGGCTTCTTCTTCTCCAGGTAGCTCGGTGTTGATAGGTGGAAATCTAAATAAAGTTGTCACTTTTTATCGTTTAATTAGTGACTGTTAGCATATAAATTACGTACATTTACACATATAAATACAATAAAACCACACCATGATGGCTTCTTCTATGGCTTCTTCTTCTCCAGGTAGCTCGGTGTTGATAGGTGGAAATCTAGATAAAGTTGTCACTTTTTCACAATAAATGCTCAAATAAAAATTAAAATAGTTGAAAATGAATCTAATATAAAAAATATAACTAATATAGGCAAAGGGGATATGATTATAGGTGGAAACCTAAATAAAGTTGTCACTTTTTCACAATAAATAAATGCTCAAATAAAAATAAAAATGGTTGGAAATGAATCTAATATAAAAAATATAATTAATATAGGCAAAGGGGACATTATTATAGGTGGAAATCTAAATAAAGTTGTCACTTTTTACCGTTTAATAAGTGCTCAAATAAAAATAAAATTAGTTGGAAATGAATCTAATATGGAAAATATCATAGACAAATAGATATAAAAACATCAATGAGCTAAAAATGCACCAAATAGATCATAAAAGGTGACAATATTTTAGATTTCTTATCATCCCTGTTAGACTGTCTATTGTTGTTTTTTATGAGAAAACAATAGAGACTTAAAGGCATCTAGGAGTAAGATAAAAATGCAATTAATAAATGGTCAACTAAAAATATGGATTGGAAATGAATCCAATATGGACAATATAATAGAAATAAACAAATAAATATAAAAACATCCCCATAAATTGATCAATTTAGATAAATAAATGCAATTAATAAATGGTCAAATAAAAAAAAATTTGTTGGAAATGAATCCAATAGCTAAAATATAATTAATATAGGCAAAGGGACATGATTATAGGGGGAAATCACACTTTTTACCGTTTTATTAGCGAATTGTTAGCATATGGATTCATATAAATGACATACATTTACACATATAAATACATTAAACCCCCCCTGAATGGCTTCTTCTCCTCCAGGTAGCTCTGTGTTTATAGGTGGAAATCTAGATAAAGTTGTCACTTTTTATCATTTAATTAGCGACTGTTAGCATATGGATTCATATAAATTACATACATATACACATATAAATACATTAAACCCCCCCTGAATGGCTTCTTCTTCTCCAGGTAGCTCGGTGTTTATAGGTGTAAATCTAAAGAAAGTTGTCACTTTTTCACAATAAATGCTCAAATAAAAATAAAAATAGTTGGAAATTAATCTAATATAAAAAATATAACTAATATCGGCAAAGGGACATGATTATAGGGGGAAATCACACTTTTTACAGTTTTATTAGCGAATTGTTAGCATATGGATTCATATAAATGGCATACATATACACATATAACTACATTAAAACCCCCCCGAATGTCTTCTTCTATGGTTTCTTCTTCTCCAGGTAGCTCGGTGTTTATAGGTGGAAATCTAGATAAAGTTTTCACTTTTTACCGTTTAATTAGCGACTGTTAGCATATGGATTCATATAAATGACATACATTTACACATATAAATACATTAAAACCCCCCCTGAATGGCTTCTTCTCCTCCAGGTAGCTAGGTGTTGATAGGTGGAAATCTAAATAAAGTTGTCACTTTTTACGGTTTAATTACTGACTGTTAGCATATAAATTACGTACATTTACACATATAAATACAATAAAACCACACCATGATGTCTTCTTC